TGTCCCTTGGGCCTGCCTCCCCTGGGACACGTCAGACCCGGTGCACGGCGGGCTCAGCCCAACAATCCGTGCTATTCCCTTTGCTGCGTGCTCACCCTCTGCACAGGTGAAATTAAATGTTTAGCTCCTTGCTGCTTTACAAAAGAGACAGGAGCCATGCTCAAGCCTCTGAACTAACAGGTCACCTGAAACAGATAAAGCTGCTTTTGTAACATCTCACTCTCTGTGATATGTGGAAAGCTCTGCTTGGACTTCTTTGGCAGTGACTCGCACTAAATCCTACAGAACTGTAATTTTGTCTTATTTATATTAATTGCAATTTCTGTCAATGATCATTTTTGCATTCTGCACAGGACCATAGACCCTGGGGGAATTTGCATGTGGAAAGGACTGGACCAGAGCTCTGGTGCAGAGTAAGATTTCACAGGCCCTGATCTGCACCTTCTGCATACAGACCTGCCCCTATGCCACAGGCCGCAGGAGGGACAAGGCAGGGGGCACAGGGGGTCCAACCCTCCCCCACATTGCTGGGGCTTGGGTTTCCCTGAGTCCTTTGAAGGATAATGGAACGTTTTCTGCAGGGCTTTCTGCACATGTACTGATCTGCATGAACCCAAGCTCTGGGTCAACAAAGATTATTTTTATGAGAAATAAGGACAAACTTGCTGTTCAACATTACCACACCACCTGATATCTCAGGCAGAGCCTCAGCTCTTCATCAGCACAAGGTGTGGTATGCACATTAAAGTCGGAGATTTTTTATCTGACACATACAGGGCACCTCTGTCAATATTTGACCGTGCTTTTCCATGTCACCTGGACAATGATCACAGAAAATATCATTTGGCATAATAGGAATTCAGCACGCAGCTTAAGTGCTGAAGGAAGGATGTGCAAATAATGAAGCAAGGCACAATCTTAAACAAATGTATTCCAGTGTTTGGAAGACAAAGGGAATTCGTCTCCCTTCTGTGTCACGTTCTCTTTTAATGCACATACACAGAACTATTTGTACTGAGGGAGAGCAGCAGTCTCACTTCAATTCACTGAAATTATGGACAATGCACAGTCCCCAGGAAGCCCGTGGCAGCCCAGGACTTGGACAGGCTTTACCCAAATTGTGCCTATACACACACACACACTGGGCCAAGTGCCCCTGAGTTTCCTCCTCCACCCAGGGTTTCTAACCTTCAAGTACCATTCAAAGCACACTTACATCTCTGAGTGGCTGTCACTGAGGGTCACGTTGGCTTGTTTCTCTCACCTTGCTCTTCTTATGTATCATGGTACTTCTCACTCAAGAAACCAGCACAAACAAATAGGAATTTTTAAGAATCCCACAGCACTCAAAAGCCATAAACACCTAAATACCCCCGGTCTGAAGGCGGTGCAAGCAGCCTGAGTCTGCACCCACTGAAGGCAACAAATGCTTTATTACAGCCTGCAGCAGGGATTGGAGTTAGGCCAGAGCTGACTGGGAAAAATCACAGAGCCCTACTTCAGGATTAATTGTCTTGAAAAGCCTTTGGTGGAGGCCTTCTGCCGGTGCATTTCACAAATCCTTAATGGCTTAAAAAACAATCAAACTAACCCTTACTCAGAACCACCTTAAATGATGCTGCTAGACCCTCTTAAAGTCCTTTCAGGCTGTAGTTTGAAAATGGAACCCAAATTACACGAGACCACCTGCTGGTGTGGGAAGGCACCTCTTTTGGGTAGACCAGCAAGGATGAGGCTGAAAAGAACACCACTGGGCCAGAAGGAAAAGGTCAGGGAGGAATGCAAGGGGACACCCAGCGGGGTCAGACCACCCCAAATTCCTCACTGTCATGCTGAGGTCACAGACATTTCTGTGTAGGTCTTGCAGTGTGTGTGTGTTGGTGTAAGGTCATGCCATCCCCTGCGTCACTCTCCATTCTTCTTGGGAACAATCAGGAAGAAACTCCTAGTGTTTCTTGGCTCCTGCACACACTTTTCACGCACAGGGGAGCACCTAGCCCATAGAGAACATTTTTTTCCCATTGTAATCTTGATGGAAAACGTCGTTAGTGATGGAGAAAGGAATTCAGGAGACGGCTGAGAAGTGCCTGAGGGAGAACTTTCATATCTATTTGCACAAGAGACATCGTCAACATGCCACCAAGGAAGTCAAGAGAAGCATTCATAAGGCAAGGGGAAAGGGCAAGAGAATTTCCTCTCTTTCAGTTCCTTGGGAGTCCTGCCTGTGTTTCAGGACATCTGTTTCATGCCCTGGAAGGGCACTGCTATGACAGCAGCAGCCTGCGCTGCAGGAGTCATCCATCCTGACACACAAAGCTACCAAAGCACCGTGTCAGAACTACAAAGACTTACACCCAAAAACTCGGCACCTGAGATGCTGACTTCCCAAAAATCACAAACACAGACAAGGCCACTCAGAGGCCCTCCTTGAGTTGCCCTTCCTGAAGAGCATCACCCCCAGGAACGCCCATGAACACGCAATGCCGTAGCCTTGAAAAGAAGGGGAAAAGCACAAAATTCTCAGCCCAATCCTGCATGTTGTGGCACGGCACTGTAACTCAAGGTTCCGCTCCCCCACCCCGTGTCACTGACTCATCCCGCCCTGCTTCCCCTGCCCAGAGGTGGCTGCTGCTGGCACATCAGGGCTGCACTCCAGGGAAGAGCTCGGATCCTCCGTGTGGCCAAGCTGCCACGGCTCCCTGTGAGGCCCAGCCGTTGCCCCACAGCCTTTGAGTTGGGCGCTGGCACCTATTGAGGCAGCTTCCCAGAAGAGCGCTCACGGCCAAATCCGCTGCCGCGCTCTGTCAAACCGAGGCAGGAATCAATAAAATGCCGTTCGTCGTGGGGTTTGCCGTAACAATGGGACACAAACGGACTCAGCCTTACGTACTGAAATGATGTCAAACAAATTAGCTCTGCCCGAGTTACTCAGACATTCTTGCAAAGACATTCTTGCCCCGTCCTCTCGTGTCTCAAGCCTGGCTGTGCAGTTTGCCAGAGGGAGCTGTGGGGAGGCCTCTCTGCACAACAGCCTTGGATGAGGAGGAGGAAGGAAGGGCTCTTGCATTCCCTGTGCCCCCCAAACAAAAGAAACTGGATACCCATTTCTAAAAAGGCAAAGAGCATAACAGATTTGGAGCGACAGGGCACATGCTCTCGCAGTCATGTACCCGGATTGTAACGTTCCCCCCTCGGCTTGGGAAACTGAAGGTGATGGCACATGAACTGGCACACAGCAAGAGTGCTGCAAAAACTGAGCTCCCAGGAACAATTCAGGCCTGAGGCAGCAGGTGTGGACACACAGCTCTGGGCTCAGGGACATACCCCGCCTAGGAGGCTGCCCCACGCTGGGCACCCCAGGCTGGCTCAGCCAAGGGCAATGCTGCCACACCACATTTTGGCCAGCAAACACACCTGGCATTTGAATATCAGGTATCCAAAATGCACTAAACTGTATTTTTGCTTATTAAAAGACAAAATGCCTTCATAAAGAAATGCCACTAAGGGATCTACGCAAGGAAACTTCCGTGCCAATATTCACCAGATAAATTCAGCAAGAAGTTTTGATTAAAAATTAGCATTTAAGTGACTCAGTCTTAGACATGGAATCAAAACATCACCTTGGGATACCATTAACCTTTTTATGAATTAGAAAACTGAGCCCAGAGCCAAGGTAGGTGACCATTCATAGATGGCTCTAATTTCACAACAGGGCAAAACCCCCAAACCATCAAATGGAAAACTCCCCCAGAGTGGCTATGCAAGACACACCTCGACTACCAAGCTCAGCTCATCCCAAACTGCTCCAGAGAATAAGCATTGAAAGCAGTTTTAACCCTAGTATGTATGTGAAAATGTGTCTCATAGACTATTTTTATGTTTATATTTATGAAAAATGGAATTAGAATTTTAATTTGACTGAGCAACCTCTCATTTAGAGGTTTGCTTGCCCACAGGCCACAGGCTTCATACCAAGTCAAACCCTGCTCTCAGACCAAGTGCCCCAGATCACAACCCCGGCAGCCTCACGGAGTGAGCTCTTCCCAAGCTGTGCAGTCAAGAGCCAAAAGGGCCCAGTGCTCCCAAACCAGCCCAGTGAACAGTTCCCTCCCATGCCACCTCCTCCAGCTCACCAAGGTCTCGCACAGAACCTGCTCTTGCTTCTACTCAGTTCAGCGAGAGTAGGAGCAGCCCCACGTCTAGTCATAGTACAAGATTTTATTGCTGTCATGATAATTAATGACTACTTACACTGAGATTTTAATGACTACCTGCACTTTTTTTTGTTTCCTTCCTAACTGGGTCATAAAGGAGGCCCTGCCTATGACAAGGCCAGAGCTGACTGAATCCAGCCTTCAGATGATTTATCTGCATCCTGCAGCATGTCCGGTTTCAAACACACTTTGCCACGAGACTTTTTGGAATAGCTCTAAAACTTAAAACACAAACAGAAAATCTGCACTCATATCACACAAGAGAACTGAAATGAACATTCAAAAGGGAACTCGTGCTGTTTGCCACCAAAGTTGCGTTTTACCAAATCTGACCTGTCCTTCCCCTCTCACAACACTTACTGTGTTAATGATCTACCCAAGCACCATTTCTTAAAACAACTCACAGAAGAATGATCTGCTTTTAAAAAAAGTTTCATGTCTCTCCATCATGTGACTTTAATTCCTCCTTGTTTCAGTTCTTCACAGAACATCATTCTTAAAGCCTTGCTTCCTTGGGATGGTCTAAAGGCAATCAATAAAGAACTGCAACCTTCATGGGTGACAGGAGGTATTCTGAACTTAATTGTGAAATCAATTACATTGCCAAATTCTTGTGGGATGCTTTGCCACCTACAGTGTATTTCATGAACCAGAAATGAAATAAAACACATAATGGGTGTAAAGAATTACAAAGCTCTAAGATACTGCTGAGAGGAAAATTATTTTTTTGGGTCTGAATTTTGGTTTGGGGGTTTTTTTGGAGGGGGGAGAGAGTTGGGGTGGGGTTTTGTTTTGGTTTCTTTTTCTTGCCTGAAATTGAGAGGCACTAGGAAGTAAGCAGTTCCACAGCTAGTTCTTAGTACACAAACACAAGGCAGGACTGCACTGCTGCAGCAGCACGAATCAGAATTGCACTTTTACTGTAAGTGGCATGGAGAAGACCTGCTGTGTCATTATCCAAATAGACTGTGGGTTACTACAGGTAAGAGAAAATCTCCAAGGAAAAGCTGTCTCCCACCTGCCTGCCAGCCACCAGCTTGCCCTGGCGGGCACACAGGACAAGGACACTGCACACCCAGAGCATCAATCCAGCTCCTTACACTTCCCTCCAAAACCAAAGGTAGTGTCTTGAAAGGCATCTTTTTCCCAGACTCACATCTCACTGTTTGAAGCGGACCTTGCTGGGATCAGGGAAACTGCAGGCCACCCACACACCTGCTCAGAAAATGGGAGTTGAACTCGGGGAAGATGTTCAGTGGCAGCCCAGCACACCTGCACAGTGGCTGCAAATGCCAGTGAAGCAGGATCAGGGCTGGGTGGCTTAAGGGCAACTCAGCTTGAGAGATGTGCTGCAGGAAAAGCCAGTGTGGTTCCACCAGCCTGGATCATTCACAGGGCAAGTGCTCTGTCCTTCAGAAAGGAAGACCCTGGTCCAGCTTGGCCCTGCTGAGCTGTTGCTCCTCACAGCTGGGGCAGCCCTGCCTAAAAGTCACACAAACGCAGGGGCTCCTCTTGAAATGACAGTTTTTGGCACGTGCAGCAGGAATGGGAAGGAGAAGCTTACAACTCTATTAATTACGCCACTACAGAAAGAGTCTGAGCCTGATAAATGAGCTAGGAAAGATGATCCTGATCCTTTGACGGGCCAGTTCTGCAGGAAATTCAGCACTGTAAGCAGCAACACACCATTCCAGGCTGGCAGCATCTGTCACTTATCAAGGTAGGGCTCAGCAGGGCTGGCTCCTTGAAGCGATCTGAGGCCATGCAGGCTCCCTCAGCCAAACTGCACTGTGAGTCAGTCCTGCAGCCATGCCTCGCACAGCTGGGGCTGCTCTGAGGCTCTGCTTCTGCAGGATGGGTCCACAGCACCCAGGTGGTGAGGAATCCAGCGCTAGAAGCCATGACACCACTTGGAGAAAGAAAACTAAGACAAATCAAGCATCTTCTTTTCCTTCCGACCTTCCCTCCCTTCTTCCCATCTTCATCTTTCCATTTATTCTCATTCTGCCCCAACACAAAGTCTCATTCTGCATGGCCTGGGCTTATCTGTGTTTCACTCTCCAGTTTTTCTTCCACTAGCAGAAAAATATCAGCAAACTCTCACTTCCAAAGCTGCCTTGGGCCTTAAAGCCAACTACAAAACTATATTTCACTATTTAGTCTCCTGCTAAATTGTGACCCTGAAGCAGAACTTCCTTTTCATGTATGTGTAACTAAACATTGAAAAAATCTGGTCAGTGTATGCTGCTGTAGGTACAAAATGGCTCATTGCAAAGAGTAAACATCACTGAAGAGGCACTTGCATATCCTGCAGGGCACCTGCTTGGCCTCTGGTACACAAAGGGCATAACAAACATCAGTAAGAGAACATTCAAACAAAATGCATCTCTCCCCAACAGTTTTCTCTGGGCAAGGTGAAGTCCAGCAGCTCAGAACTTCTGTGACAAGTACCCCCTGAGGCAGTTGTGAAGGGGGTGCATCTGCTCCAAGACAGCCTCTGCCACTGGGCTGGTCCTTGGGAAGTGGATGCAACACCGCAGTGAGAGCGCAGGAAGAGACAACGCACTGGGGAGAGGGAGATGCACTCATGTGACAAAAGCTCCAAGGCTTTTCATCCTTTGGATATTCATCTCTACAATTTTCTCCAGAGACCAAGGAGAAAGGTCTCTCACTTGTGTCTTCCTAATAATGTGCACATTTGAAATTCCCATGTGAGATGGGTGAAGGGTGGGTTTTGTTTGTGAGGATGTGCAGACTCTAATTTACACCTAACTGCCCTCTCATCACAAATGTGTGACAGAAAATGTTAGGGCCAGTACTGAGAGCTGACTTGAAGACCGTGAAGAGCACAAGTTATCAAGCAGTGGAACCTAAGAAAAGGTCAGAAGAATGGAAAGGAGCAAACAAGGCAAAGATTTGACTGGAGATTAAGAAGACAAAAAGGCTGAGAGTTGGAAAATGCTGGTGTCAATGTGCAGAGCAGAGGCCTGGTGTCCATCCACTGCTCACCAGCAATCCTTTTTGTGTGTGCATATGCTGCTTGCTCCCTCTGTTACAGGGGATTCCAAGAAGTGTGTGATGTGCTGTTTTATTTACTGCTATCACAGAGCCAAGATGGCTCAGGTACTGATCAGGATCCCCACATGAGAAGCCCCCTGAACTTCAGACCATTCTAGTGCCACACACACACCTTTACTCTTCCAAACCCCACCCTCCATACACATTTCAGCATTGCCACCGTAGCCTCACAAACAGAGAGCTTTTTCAACAAACAACATGCATCCTTGTTGTGAAAATTAACTCACATAACAAAGAAACTGAGCTTGCAGCAGGGCACCTGAATTTAGGAGCCGACATTGCCCCACAAGGTCTCAAAGTACCAGCTGCCTTTCTCTGGTAGATGGCTGAGCACAGCAGATGAGTCTACAATGTGCAACAGCTGAAATGAAAATCTCTGAGAGCCATCTCTAGTTGCATCAGCGCTGGCAAACACTCCAGTGAGAAGTCCCAGTTAGTGCCACCATCTTCGGAACCAATTTTCTTCCCTTTTCCTGGAACCAAATGTTTGTACCTTCCCAATTCTTTGTAGATAAGATGAACAGAACCAAGCATGCGATATGGAATCTGTTGGTCCAGGGTGGAACTGAATTCCTAAAATAATTTCTTTCTTATTTGAGTGGTCACATTGTGCCCATCATGTGCAAACGGAATAGAGAAAGTCTGTTTCCTGGGAAAAGCTGTATTGAAGTTACACAATGAAATTCCGGCTTGTCTAGCAATTCAAGTCTTGTGCAGAAATCAGGATGCAGCAAGGCAATGTTCTACCTGAAATTCCATGGAACTGAGGAGCTGCTACAGGATGTTTGGGAAGAGGAGAGGCCTTTGTCATGAGGACACTCCATAATCCATTTTGAGAAAGGTATCTGGCTGCTTTTCTTCTGAAAACAGTAAGAACACGCCATGCCCAGAGGTGTCAAGGTCTTGATTTTCCAGGAATTGCCTACTCTCCATATTCTAATTTAAGGAAGGTTTCGAGAACCAGACATTTTCCTCGGTCCAAAGCATTTTTTGTCCTTTATGGCACCAGAAGCCCATACTTGGCCCAGCACACCGAAGGTAACTGTTGGGTCGGGAGAGCGCTGTTCATCCACACAGACAGCCAGCAGACACCGAAATCAGAACCCAAATGCTTCGTGGTCGGCGCACGATGCCCAGAACACAGCTTCACTGTGAGGGAGGTGGTGCTTATCCTCCAGAGAAGAAAAAAGAAGAAAAAAACCAAAACAAAACCAAACCAAAGACACAAAAGACCAAAGCAGAACACTGTACGAGCACTTGAAATGACTGAAAACAGCTAAAACCAACCAGTCCTCCCCACGGCAAGCACCGGGCACAGGACAGCGCCGAGAGGCCTGCCAGCGTCCTCAGCTGCTCGGACCTGAGCACGAGCCACCCTCACCCAAGAGAGGAAGTCTTTCTTCAACAACACACAGAGCCTGTCAGTCCTGCGGGAGTTCCCTTGGCGCGCTCCTCTGCCGCTCCCTCGAGTTCGTCTCCTCAGGCAGGCCGGGGTACCTGTCCGATGGCGCGGGGGGCCTTGCTCCTCAGCAGGCAAACCGCCGAGTCTTCCAGTGCCAGCGCCTCACAACGCCGTCTCGCCCACGCACACTTTGTAGGGGGATTTCAGTTTCCTGCATCTAAAGCGGACACCGTCACGGGATTTGTATCAGCCAAACCTGAAACTGCAGCAGCCTGCGCACAGCAAAACCTAATCCCTTAACTCACTCACTCACTCAGCCCAGAGGAACCCCACGTTTCAGACAAGTGCACCGCTGGCCCCACTGGCAGATCAGAAATCACAGGTATAGAGTGTTAGTTCCTTCAAGATCACACCACAGATTAGTAGCAGGCAAAAACACAATCCCAGTGCCCTCACAACTCTGCCCGCTGAAATTCAGACCAATGCCATCAGAAGGTTCCAGATTTCCCGTACCTCTTTCTTACATAGTAGTAGATGATGGCGAGTATGCCACTGGTCAGTATTCCTATGCCAATTCCCACTGCAATGTAGCGCTCATAGGAATTATGTGCATATGAATTTAGCGTTAAATGTTCACACCTTTCTCCATTATAACCTGCAAGGCACCTACAAAATAAATACACATGATGCAAAAATTATTCAGGACTCGTTTTGCTTTCTATTTCAAACATGCGTTAGTTTTCATCAGTTTTAAACAATTCACAAGAAGTCTAAACAAGCAAAGGCTGAGCCTGGTGCTCACTCGGAGCCTCTTCCCTCCACCAAGACTACCAGTCATCCCAGTTTATCTAGTTTCAAGCTAGCTCGAGTACTGCAGGCACAGCAGCAATGCAGTCTAAACTCCCCTCGTCGTGCAGGGTGTGGACCAAGAGCCCTGTGCTCTGCTGATCCTTGGCTGCTGTAATGTCTCCAAAGGCCAAGGCTGCCCACTGTGCATCCCAGAGAACTCTAAGGACACCATGGTCCTGACTGCTATGTGGCTGTGGAATAAGGGAGTTGGAGCTGGTATGTTGGAAGGTCCCGTTCCCTTCTTAGTACTTACTGTGAGCATCTATTGATTCCTCTACTACTTCCTCCAGCACCAGCTGTGATTTGAGATGGCACCATGGCAGTGACCTACAAAGCTGCCAAGTCCCCCTCTCCCTTCCTCAGTTTTACACCAGCACAGCGCTACATCCTTGTTGGCAGCCCTGAGGCACCACAGCACTCAGCACTGTGCCAGACGTTAATCCTGCAGCTCCCTGGCTGACACTGTGAGGCTGCACATGCAGCACATCAAGAATCAATGCCAGTGCCATTTTTGAAGAAGGATGTGATAACAAGCAGGGTTCCTTACTTGCATATGGGCTTCCTCAGCTCGCTGTGGAAGGCGCAGAGCCCATTGATACAATAGCTGTGGTGTTCCTCAAGGCAGGTCTGCATCAGCTTCAAGAGCTTTGGCTGCTCTGTATAATCTACTGTGGAACAGAAAAAAGTCATGTTATGTTAAGGACAAAACATCATTTGAAGGTATTTTCACACCTGGAGCAGAGCAGACACTGTGTGCAGCAAACACTCAGCACGTCAGTTCACTGTGCGGAGTCTCGTGAGCTGATTCAGTCAGCACTGAGCAAAGCAGCACAGAAAGAACCAGCCAGGCACAGCTTTGAGAAAGCACAAACTGTAAATCAATCACTTGCTCTTGAGGAACATTGACAGAAATTACTACACTACACTGGGACACTACACAGCCTGACATCAGCACTATCCAACCTGAAATCCAATCAGAAATCCTAGGAACAGCAGGGGTTTAGGACACAATGAGAACACTGCATTAGTCTCAGTATCCTTCCCAGTGTGAATTCCATGAATAGTTCATTAATTTTTTCTTTTCCTTATCCCAAGACAAGCTATTACATTTCTAGTGCTCCTGTTCTGCCTGCCAGCTCTGCAGCCACGGTTCTCCATGGTTTGATGTTAGCTGAGTGTCCCGTGACACAACTGTAAGCTGCCTAGACTGCCTGGATGGTTTTGCTGTGCAAAAGCACGGTCCATGGCTACCAAGGTTCTGAACTTGTTCTAAATTCTACACAACCGGGTCAGCAAGCACACTTCTGGAACAGAAAATGCTACCTTATTCCCCTATTCAACTGCGGCTCAAATGGGAAAAAAGAAGTCCTAGGAACAGGGGTGCAGCAGGTGAGGAGAAAGCTCCAAAGCTTCACCATCACGGCAGGCATCTGTTCCAACTGGTCTCTCTACCCAGGCACAGGAATCCCTGCTGGGGTGGGGTGTCCAAGCAATGACTTACTATTTCAGGGGACTGCCTCAGTGACAGCTGAAGGTGATTTCCTAACCGAGTGCATGCCAACACCAGCTTTCAGTTATGACCACAAGAAAAATAACATCTTGCAGCAAGGTGACAAGGTCTGCTCAACAAAGGTGACTCAACAAAGGGACAGCAAGCAGAACCCTTCCTTTCTGACTAAGTGCTGAATCAAGGTCTGGAGATAGTACACTCATGGAACCATTGCCAATGACAGAAGCCCCTTGGGGGCAGCTTGTGATCCCACCACACACTTTGCAGGATTAGCAGCACCAACCCCCTAAATTCCCCAATTCCAGCCCGAGCCATTTAATGGCAGCAGCCTCCTTTGTGTGCTCTTCTAAGCGGCTTTGGGTTTGTTTTTTTTTTCCTTCCTCCTCTCTGCAGCTTTATCAGAGATGACAAGCAATGGCAAACAGCTGCTCTCACTAGAGCAGCTCTCAGCTTCAGCTGTGAATGATGTGGTTGGGACACCCAAAAGGCATGATGCTATCACTGACACTCAGATCAAACACTGTTCCTTTGAGAACAGTGCCTCTCGAACCTGACAGAGTAATCAGACTTCCAGCTTAGCAAGAGACTTGGGCAGAACAAGTGACAATGCAGGTCTGCTTGATAAATGACATGTTGGCTTACTGCACTTCCTCAGGAAAAGCTACAGAGGTGGGAGAAGGATGTCTTGTTTTAGAGTTAACTTCTAATGGCTGAGGAAAGGGCATCTTATCCATCCTTCCCCAGAGAAAAAGTTACCCACAAGTTTCTCTGCACACCGTGGGGCCTGGAAACACAATGCAAGGGAGGAAGTTGGTGCTGGCTAAATAGGAGCTCCAGTACCAACTCTGGCTCTCTTCTGGCTGGCTCTGGGAATGCTGCTGACAACCTCTGGAGACAGAGGCTTGTTGGCCAAGAGCACAGTCAGCAAAGGACCAGGCCTTAGAGAGACAGATTCAGGAAGAAGTTAAGTAAGGGCAGTTCTCATGAAGACAAGACAGATTTTTGGGACAGGAGATGGATGACCCTACTGGCTGCACAGGCACACTACCACTGCTCTCTGATGAGGAAAGCACAATGGAAAGCATGTGGTGAGCACAGCTGCAGGGCTCAGCGTGCCAAGCAGATCCAGGATGCCGGGGACTTGCAAAAGCCCATTCTGGTTAGGTCTAAAGTACCTACAGACCAGCTACCAGGGAAGAGTTTCAGAAAATAGGCAATGGTGCATTGGCACTTTTCTCAGGAGCCTCCTCAAATACTCAGGCACTAACTGTTTTGGATCACCATTTCAGCACCAAGTGCACTAGAAAAAACACCAAAAATAACCCTTCAATGGGAGCCTTTAGCCAGCATTTCCCACTGCCCAAAGTGCCACTCTGCTGCTAGGCCCAGAGAAGGTGTCTGTTGAACAGGTTTAGTTTTTCATTTCCATCTCTTTCTCGGGGGGAAGAAAGAAAATAAACACGAGGAAGGTACAAATTCACATCCCAGAAGCACAAAATCCCCAGCCACCTCTACCTCAACTTCCACCAGATGGATTTCCACATCCCAAAAATCCCTCCTCACTCACGCCACTGCTGCCGAGAGGTGGCAGACTTCCACCTAGCCACATGTGCAGGAAACCTGGCTTTGTGCGGGTACAGGAACCTCTTCCCTGAGTGCTGCTGTCATTAGAAACCCAGGTCAGCCTGGAGCAGCAGCCTGCCTAGAAAGCACTTGAGACAAACCAACACATTCCTTCGTCACCTTCAGGAGGAACAGCTTGGTCCGTTGTGGGCGAGATCAGCTATTTAGTCTACACACAAAAATCCCGTGTGCTAATTATTTTGACGTTGCAAAAGTACAAATTACCTCTGAAAGAATGAGTCTTGAAAACAAAAAGGATGATTTCCTAGTCTGCCCCAGAGCATTATGTTAATTCCTATCATACTGTCTGCCTAGATACTAAACAAGCTGTTGAATAAACAGGTCCATGTGCCCTTTCATGTCACGTGAGGGGAGAGAAACATGCCGTGTAAGCACTTGACAGCTGCCTGCAACTGAGTCATTTGAACAGATACACCTGGCAAGATCTGACATGAAATCAAGGCTACAGGTACTTGGAAGCCTGGGCTTGCCAAAACTAACAGACTGGCAACAAAAGCAGTCAGCCAGTAAGACCATGACAGCTCAGTCCTCAAGTATGGTGCACCAGGGAGGAAAAGCAGTGGGAAAAGGGAGGCAGGGAAGGGCTCAGTCCCAGGTCCAGGGCCTCCTTTACTGGCTGCAAGGAACCAGCTGATGGCAATCGAGAGATGCCATTTCCATCCCAGTGCAACCAGGTCCTTCCCTACTCCTGGCTGCCCATTTTGCTACGAAGGCTCTCCGTCAGCCCGAACATCACTGAAAGTTCTTTGTCCATGCTGTGCCAGCTCCCAGTTCCTCTCCATGACCTTTCCCCCTCTCAGCTCATCACCGAGCCCAAAACTCTCCAGCACTGGTGACAAGTGAAGCCTATGTGACATAAAAGAAGGAAACAGGACCACATCTTCTAAATAGCAGGCAAACAGACTGAGCAGAAATTAATGGTTTTCCACAAACAATTCCCTAAACAATTTGAATCCCACAGGAAACTGCCAGTTCCTCCAGTGATACGGAACCAGGAATTCATGTTCTTAGAACCCAGTATTACTGAACCCTGGCAGTAAATCTTAAATATGAACTTACAGTGCACGGGAATAGAAGCTCTCAGAAAACTGGGGAGATTCAGTGAGTTTCTCTGGTGCCCATCTAAGCATTTCTTTGAAATCTTCTTTCTGAAAAGGCTGTTCATTAACTGTTCACTGGCTTTGTAAGAGGCCCACCAAAATATACTTTTAACTCCCTGTGTGCTTGAGTGTTTGTCAATTTGATTCTGTCTTTGAGAGGAGCTCTCTCAAAAGAAAATGCTGACGTATAGTTGACTACCACATCTCCAGCTGCCACAAAGGTTCAGAGATTACTGCAGACATGGCTGTGACTCTGTAAATAAACCTCCTCTTTGCTGAAACATAACCCATCACTCCTGCTTTCTAGAAACAACACAAACAGGGTCACAAAAACGTATTCCAGCTTCATTATCCTCCTGATCGCTGTATGCAGCTCTGCAAGCATCGTGTCACAGACAGACCACACCAGACCACAGTGCTGCACTGATAAACCCAAGTACTGCGGTCAAAAATCAACACCTTACCGACTTTACATGCATAGGAGTCTGGAAACATATTTCATGTGTGTATATATATATATATACATATATATACGTATATAAGGAACCCACACATATAGTGTGTGTATGGATGAACGTATATACAACACTGTACCACTGTAAGAGATCAGAAATGAAAATAAAACAGCTGGTCTTGTTATGATAAAATAAGAATAAGCTTGTGGATCTACTAAAAAAAGCTTGGAAGACATCCTGTGATGACTTAGAACTGACAGAAGACAACCTGTGTGCGTGTTTATATGCCTTTTAAAGTCCAGAGACATTAAAAAGGATTGCAGTTAGATTCCTCTCCTCCTTTACTGACCTGCCAAAACCTCATTCCCGGATCGCTCGGCTCTCCGAAAGCAATGACATCACCAGCATCTCAGGTAACATCAAGAATGCAGCTGGCAGGGTAAACAGAGCTCTGCTCTCAGATGTTGGCAGGAAAAAGAGCCTGAGTTCACATTTCAGTCAGGAAAGAGAAAGGAAGAAGGGAGAGAGGCAGCACTCTGAGGAGGGCTGTGAAAGCCCAGACAGCCAAAAGCGAAACTGCAACAAAGACAGAAACTTCTGAGTAACAACTCGTGAGAGGCATAGCTCAGAGTTGTGCCTGTTCATTCTCACTTCTGCGCATTAAGGTGTGTGCTGAGGACAGACAGAAACCAAGCACCAGCAAAGAGTAACAGAAATTGCCATCAGAAACCCAGAACATCAGCCTTAAAACGTCTTCTTCAAATTATGACTGAACTTGAGTTAAATGTTCCTTCGGCTGCTCATTGCTGAGCCTACCCCAGCTGGGTGGCAGCTCTTACTTCAGAGAAGCTTCAAAGGCTCCGTGAAGAAATCAGCTGATCTCACAAATAAAACTCACAAATCCAACAGTGTCCAAGGGATGCAGCATCGCAGCAGCTAACATCACAGATTTTGCTGGA